CATTTTTGTCTTAGCTCGGGAAGGATGGCTCCAGAGCAAACTAATTTATGCAGTAGCCAAATCACTCGCTCACAACTTTAATGCCAGTAGCTCACAAAGTAGAATTTTTGCTCACAAGACTCCACAGTTTACAGGGAGCATTGGTCATGAGTATTTGTGAGCATGAGGGACAGGCAACATTTCACTGTATGCTAGCTGAAATTTTCAGTAAATGTAGTTTTGGAGGGGAAAAAGAGAAGGGGAACAGGTAGCAGATATTTACACATTAGACAGGAAAAGCATTCATATACTTTCCCAGTGCCACATAATTTTGGTGTGAATAAAATATATATAAAAACGAAAGTGAAACTTTACCGAGCATGTAGAAGCCACAACAAAAAAAAGCTTGCATCACCTGTGTGAGTGAGGTTAAATTACTAATAAAATTTAGATATGCAGTGTTAAAGCTGTTAAGCATAAAACTGGTAACTTATGTAATGTCAGGTGAAGCTGAGATGATATGAAATTGCTGGGAAATTTCTAAGTTCAGAGAGGTTGCAGAAGCTGAAGGTTACTTATAATTATCAATAGAATGATTAATGTTAATTGCCAAACAGGCAAAAGGAAGGGATAGATATGATTTGATTTTATGCTGACTTTACATGTATACTGTCCCAAATATTTTTGCGTTTTACTATTTATTTTGATCTCTGCAGCGCAAGGTAGATGTGCTAATATCTGTTCAGTAAGAGATACTAGCAATATTTAGAGTGTTACTTTAGAATATATAAACAGTCTACCTTCTTGTTAAGTATCTGCTTGTTATTAATTAGCAATTGGGAAAAGTGAGGTAAGAAGTAATTTTAAAATGTTAGGCAGAGGTTGAAATAGAGTAGTCTTGACTTCAGTGCTACTCCAGGTCCCAGATTGAACTGGGCAGCCACAATCTTTTCCTGCCGTGATGGTTTATGGACTTGCAGTTCTCCCGCAGTTCTCCCACATTCTCCTCTGCATACTTGCCCTACTACTGAATAAAATTAACTTGGTTTTTGTTTTCTTTCTTCTCCAAGCTTAAAGGTAAAGCAGAAGGTATTACTTATGCTCTGGAAAATTACCTAGGAATTTTCTCCCCCATTTCTACAAAATACTGTAAAAATGTTGAAACTAAATGTGATGGTGGCCGACCCATTTGTTCAAACTTGGGTCCACAGAGGAGGTCAGTGGGGAGGAGCTCAAAGGGTGCCATACAGGTGGAACCTTTGAACCATTGCCCTGCACTGGTTTACTTCCCGGCATTCTTTTTTTTTTGTATGTAAACTCTCTTAAAAAGGAGAGAATTTTATTGCTTTTAATTTCAGAAAGAAGGAGGGTATATAGCGGGATTAAGAAAAGAGTGAGTGATGCTTCTATTAGTATATTAATCTTTTGTTAGTATTAATCATATCTTCTTTTGGCTTCTTCCGCGAGTTGGTCAATCGTCTTTCATCTTATCCTGTGAAAACAAATAGAAATGTTAGTATATTAGTAGTGTCCCTTTGGTTTATTGTTAGTAAAGTCTTTTCATGTACTTCCCAAACCAATCTTCATGTTCTGGGCTGTCTTCCTTTTACGTCTCTCAGATTGTAAGATGGACCTTTCGTTGCTTCCTTCTGGAATCAACCATCTATAGCTAATTTGATAGTTTTGCAAGAACGAGGTCAGTCCTTTGTATGCCTTCCGCTTCATTCAAATTTCAAATGGAACATCTTTCAAGATTCTGACTGTCTGCTCTCCAATCTTCAAAGGCGTTGATGAAGACGCTCTTAAAATTTGATCTCTGATCCTCTGTTTGGTAAACTTGACCACCACTTCTGCCGGCAGATTATTCATCTTTGTAAAGTTGGAGTAGGCTCTGTACACCAGATCCATCTCCTCGCTTAGTTTATCCGCTTCCCAGCCGGTGAGTGCCACCAAAGCCTCCGCTAGAATACTTCTGAGATCTTCTTTTTCAATTTCCTTAATGCCTTGAAATCGGAGAGTCAAATTTGATTTTTCCATTTGAAGCATCAGTAACTTTTTGTCTTGCATTTCTTGATATTTTTCCATTTTGTCGACCTTTTTCTTGACTTTTTGGGTATCTTCCATTGAGACCAGACATTTCTGCGCGATTTCCTCCATGTTCTTAGCTGTATCATTCAACTGTTTCTGCTGGTTACTGAGAACACTTTCCATGCTCGACAACGTTTGATTTATTTTTTGCATTTGCTCCAGCAGAGGGTGCAGTATCTCGCTTTCCTGTTGATTGACAGCCGGCTCTAAGAGGCGGGAGCCAGGTCCGGAAGTTCCTCCCAGCTTCTTCGCCGGCTTCTCAGGAAACTTTTTTTGCCCTGACATCTTTGTTTTATTGTTTACTTTTTAAAAGTTCATGCCGCGCAGTTTAAGAATGAGTCTTCCTGCCTCTCTTTAAACAATTCACCAAAAGGTAACACCACCCTTCCAAGATTTCACTCCCCCCCTCTTCTTTCTATTAATTCAGTCTCTGTTTATTCGGGAGGGGGGGCTCTCCCCTTCCTCCCTTGCGCTTTTTCGACAGGGGGGAATACGCTTATCTCTTTTTTCACGTTTCCGATCGCCAACTCACGGTTTTGGCTGATTGCTTCTCTTTTCAAACGCTGTTCCGCTTCATCACTCGGTGACTTCCGGTGGCTCTGCTAGTCCCCGTGTGGGGCACTGCCGCGGCAAGGGCCATTGGGGCAAGCCTCAATTTCCGACCTTCGGGCGGGTAAAGAGGCACATCCCCTGTGCGCCCCGGATCGGAACCTCACCCTGAGGCTCCTTAGGGTCTCCGCTTGTGCGGATTCCCCCCTTAACCGCGCGTGGGTGAATCACCTCCGGGAGCCTCCCGAAGTTGCGACCGCCATTCACAGAGACCAAACCGGAAGCCCTACTTCCCTGCATTCTGATGCTGAAACTTTTCTCTCCCCCCAGTTCAGCTGCATTAGTGAAAGTGAGCAAAAGGTGGTGGGGAAGGGGATTGGGGAGGATTCCTCCTGCAGTATGAATGGCTAAGTAGCAGGGGGATGTTTTAAAAGGACACCTGAGCTTCTCACCCCTGCCTCTTTTGCTGCAGGCTCCACTGTCCTCTTAAAACTTTCTTGGCAGGGGGAGGCTTCTAACTGCTAAAGTACTATGGATTTGCTACAGTATATTTTACTTCCTGTTCTAGCAAAGCATGTCCTCATAGCAACTTTATAACATTGGTTAAATGTTAAAGAAAATATTAAATGGGTAAAGCATTGATTTGTTAACTTTCATTTAATGTATTGGAGGTATATAATTCCACATTTGAATTTTATTAACTTTAGCACAGATGTGATAATTTTATACCTCAAGACTGCATATCATGTTTATCATAATTGTCATGCTCTTCTTCTTTTAAAGCCACAAAGCTAACCAATTGTAACTGCTATTAAATAGAGCATGCAATCTAGTCCTGTGCTCTCCATGCCCCAGTCAGCAACATATTTTACTCAAGGACTATTTAGAGGACAAACTGCCTGACCTCATCTCCCAAAGTAGTAAGTCCCATTGTCACAGATATTTCTCTTCACATCCTCCCTTGCCTCTCAGAAAGTAACTAGAAACACTGCAAGTACTCCTGAAGTGGGTGAATTGGACTGATTTCTGTTCTTCCTTCTATACATTTTACAGTGTCAAAGGTTTCAGAGGAAAGAAAAATATGGATATGTTCTCAAGAAACTGCAGAATTTTGTATGTTTGCAGAAGGGGTGTACATCTTTTTGACCTCTGTAGCTATTCTTACTGCTGTATCATATGACTAGAGGACATTTTCCTCCAAAGGTTAGATCCTGTAAAATGTTTGTCTCACAGTGTTGTCACAGAGTTTCAGCATGATCTGCTTTCTGGAAAGCCATGAGAATGAACTCTTCAAAATGTAAATTGTACAAAACATTCTGGTTTAAAGTAGCCTCTCAAGCCTTGTGATACCTGTAGCCAAAAGATTTTCAGATCAGTAATGTGTTCCTTCTATTTCTTTGTAGATTCTGGACAATCAGGAAGTCCAAGCCACACTGATCCTGCCAAGAATCCACCAGGTAAAATTGCATTCTTAGATGTTTTGTAATTGAACACTATTTGAGAACAAAGATTGTAGTATTAATATGGTTGATCAGCAACTGATTTTATTCTGGCAAGTACAATGTGAGTAGGCCTTCTGGAGTGGCAAATTCCTTCATAGCAGGGTGGATAAAAATCAATTATTTTTAAAAATTTAAATCAGGTTTAATTTAAATTGGATTTTTAATAGAATGCTTTTTGAGGAAAAATCTATCTAAAGATAGTATTCTATTTTACATTATAGTCCAAAGGTTATTCATCGTGAAATATGGATTAGTTTTTAATTATGTAGCCTGAAGCTGTATATTCGTGTAATGTTTAAATTTTTTGGTAAATGGATTCCATTAATCCATTCACAATGTCATGTTCTCCCAGAGGTTTCTGTAAGATTATTTGGAGCCATTTTTCTATCCAGAAGATATCACAGATGCTTGGTCTCACAGTTCTCAAAACTGTGAATTTCTGTCTGCAGAGATAACATGCTTGTTCTTAACAGCAGAAATCTTATAAAATATACATATGGAGATAAGAGACCTCAGTCCTATTGGTCCTCTGCAAATCTATGCACACAGAATCAACCCCTTAGCTCCTAAGTGCTAAGTTTCAAGAAGTTTAATGAATATAAGATTGTTTGGGGTGGAATAGGTCTGGGTAAGGAGGAGATATTAAGAGCTAAATGTAAGGAGGTAGGGGCAAGCAGTACAAATGGAAGTGAAACTTTTTGAGCAGAATACTCCAGAAATCTTGAGATTTTTGTGTGTGTACCCTCATTGATGCTTAAGCAAATACAACAATCAAATCAACCCTGCTTCATAGTAATTTTATTTTAGATCTAGTTAACCATAGGAAAATGTTTGTTATGTAAAGTTCAATAAAAACAGTATAGGTGTAGAGCAGGTGGTTGGATCTAGAAATATATTTTTATGCTTTAAACAGTGTCTGACATTTTTCAGTTACAGTTTTTGTTAATATTTATGATCTGGAGCCCTGCAGCTTTACTTTTGTCATCCCTTAGTAAAATGCACATATGTTCAGTTTTTACAATCAGATGTCTTATCTATTAACAAAATGCTAAAACTCTTTGGATAGTGATATTTTCTGTCTTTTAAAAAAATTCCAGTACACGATTGCCACAAAGATTTCACACAAAAAATAAAGGAATCAGAACTGGACTTTGCAAACCAAAAGGATCATGACTAGAGTTGTGCTCATGGAAAGGGGCTTTCCCACCTCCCCTTTCCTACCACAGCCTCCTGTGCATTCAAAAAACAGTACAGGGGAGGGGTGTCAGAGAACCCTTGGGAACAGCATGTGGTGAAATGTACGTAGTAGGAAGGGGGGATCAGCAAAAATCGTATCCCCAGTTAGGGCAAGCAGAAATGCCCTTTAGCCCATAGAAGGAGGAGTTTGGATACTTCAGTATAATTAGTTCTGTTTTTCCCAACCTTGCTATCTGAGAATTCTAGATTTGGGTGCAATCCAGTAAAGTTTGTTACTTGCACACAAAGGATGTGATATTTTGCGGAGCAGCAGCCCTGTAGTACTATATTACCAGCTGTTTTGTGAACATGGAGAGCTACATAGCAACACGTAATGTGGTGGAGGAAAGTTGCTACGTAGAAGAAGGATGTAAAAGCTGTGCTGCACATGTGCTGCGCATCCCTCCCCTTAGTGCCTCTCTGAATTGCAGTACTTCAACAGAAGAAATGTTTGGCTTGGGTGTGCTGAGAAAATGGAATGTAGGTTGGTGCTTTCAACTACTGTTGAAAAGAAAAACACTAGTCCAAACAGAGGTTTAAACTACAGCAGTGCTGCCAGTAACTGTTTTCAGCCATTTGTTTTATTATCTACCAAGAAGGCTCGCACAAAGTCAAGCAGATTTTTTTTGTTTATAAAGCTGAACTTTTTGTAAGTTTGAGAGACGATAATGTTTGTGTGTGTTTTACAGGGCTGTGTATACTATTTGTGATTCAAGAAATAAAGGGCCAAACTAGACAGAATGGCGGTGGAGGGAGGGAGATTGATGGGGGGCATGCATGTGTCTTGCTTGGTCACATGTACAGTGAGAATGGTCTTTTTATTTACTAAGAAAACAGCATGGGTGTGAGAGGAGCTATTCTTGAACCATATCTTTGAGACTGGTTTCTTCCTGATCTTCTTCGTGGTCTCTGTGCATCACACCCTTGGGATACACTGCGCCTGCGCTGAACCTTCTCGGTACCGATAGCTAGCAAAAAGGGATTTTCGCGCCTCTCCCAGGTCACGCGCCGGCTCCACTGCGCATGACCAAGGAGGGGCACGCAGATCCCGCCAGTTCTCTTCTGACCGCCGCGCTGGTAGGACGCCTTCTGCCTCGGTCTGCTAAGTACCAAACTTTTTTTTGCTAAACTTGCGTTTAGTTAGTTTCTCTTTCTTTATTTTTGTAGTTAGCATTTTTCTTTCGGTGTTTGTTCTTTACTTACGTTCCCCTCCCGCTGGCCTATGGCCCCGCGGTGGGGTTGTTTCAAACGGTGTAGGACTTGCGGCCTTAAAATATCCCCCACCGACGGGCACGCGCTTTGCCTCGTTTGCTTAGGGGAGTCGCACTGTGTCTCTAAGTGCAGACATTGCCAAAAGTTTTCGAATCAGACGAGAAAAAACAGGGCAGCTCGTCTACACTTGGCCCTGATGGAGAAGGCACTATCTCCACAGTCCTCTTCACCGTTAGACACGTCCGGGCACGCCTCGATGTCCACCTTGGCTGCGGACACTTGTCCTCCCGTTCTGGGATCGTCGACGTCGACGGTCGCAATCGATGCTTCGGCACCGAAACGATCGACGCCGATAAAGGACCACCCCGTACCTTCCAAGATCCGGAAGCAGGGGTCATCCGTTGCCGTACCTTCCAAGATCCGGAAGCAGGGCAAAGACTCACAGCAGTCGAAGAAACCTAAAACGGACAAACCCAAAGTCCATAAGGTTTCGGCTAGTCAGGGTCGAGATCCCACGCAAGAACCTCACCCGATCGGTTCGGATCTCGACATCGACCTTACTCAACAGACAAATCAGTCGCAATCTGATATGTCGAGCCGTCAATCCTCTCATGCCTCCCCAGAACGTGGAGTCGAGGATCGGCACCGACCAACTTCTCCTCCCCTGACTTGGGATGAGAGGCAATGGCATTATTTGTACGGGAATCGATACCCATACCCTTGGGCACTCCCGATACCACCCCCACCTGAATGGGATCGTCAGTCGGTGTCATCCCGCATTTCGCGCTTTCAAGATCGACCATCGGTATCGAAGCAGTCGATACCGACGCATCCACCAGACCCGGTTGTGCCCCCGATTAACACACCGGCACCGTCTCAACCTGAATTACTCGAATCATCTCCAGAACCATCCAATGTATCCTCCGATTCAGATGGCTTTTCTGAACATATCGAGGATGTAGATGCACAGCCCACCTCGCAAGATGTGGAAGCGGATTTACCTATTTCTCCATCAGAGGATGTTAAGTCTTATGGAGATTTTATTCAACGCATGGCATTAGATCTATCTATGACTCCTACTCTCGTTGCCAGTTTTGTGGATGATAACGTTTTTGACATTATGCACTCTAACACTTCGCCCTCCGTGGCTCTACCAATGACAAAAGTTCTCTTGCAAACTACCAAGGACTTTTGGACTCGTCCAGCCTCCATTAATGTCTCTAATAAGCGTCTGGATCACATGTACAAGGTCCAGGAATCAGGGGCTGAGTTTTTATACACACATCCTAAGCCCAATTCTTTGGTCGTTTCCTCGTCCACGAAAGGAAAAGCGAGCCACTCTACTCCATCAGACAAAGAAGGAAAAAAGTTGGATTCGGTTGGTAGAAAATTCTACACTGTCGGTGCAATGGGCATTAAAACGGCGAACTATGCCGCCTGCATGGGCCGTTATCAATTCAATTTATGGAAGCGTTTGAATGATTTCCTCCCGCACGTGCCCAAAGAGTGCCAACCTCAGATTAAAAGGATTCAGAATGAAGGGATGGTCTTGGCTAGACACCAAATTAGTGCTGCCAAGCATTCCCTGGAATCCGCTAGTAAGACTCTAGCAACCTCTGTAGCGTTACGCAGACATGCCTGGCTCCGCTCTTCATCATTGCCATATGACACCAGATCCTCGGTGGAAGACCTTCCCTTTGAAGGTTCTGGATTGTTTAGCTCCACCACTGACACGGTTCTGCAGGAAATGGATAAGAGTATCAAGACGTCCAAGAGTTTGGGGATCTCCCCCACGACCAAATACTCGAAATCCAAGCAGTGGCCTAGGCAACCTTGGTCGACCAGGCAACCGTACAACAAATCACCTACGGATCAATGGCAAAGACCTCCCTCTCAGTCACGGTCTTTTCCCCCGAAAAATAAGGGACAATCGTCCGGTGCCTATAAGTCGAAATTCCCTAAGAATCCCAAACAGGGACTTTGACTTCAACCTTACTGCTCAGACTCGCCTTGCACCCTTCCTGCACGCATGGCTCGCCATTTCTACGGACAAATGGGTGCACTCTATAATAAGAGATGGCTATCTCATAGAGTTTTCTCTGACTCCCAAAATCTCCCGTTTTATCAGAACCCCGGCGTCTCCTGCCCTGCTACAGGAGGTACAATCGCTGACACAAAAAAACGCTATAGAGAAAGTCCCGATGGCGGATTGTTGCCGCGGGATTTATTCCAAATATTTCACGGTCCCCAAGAAGGACGGAGGACTTCGTCCAATCATGGACCTTCGTTTTCTCAATCGGTTCATCATTTACAGAAAGTTTCGCATGACCACGTTGCAAAGCATTTTACCACTCCTGTCTCCAGGGACTTGGATGGTCACTTTAGATCTCAAAGACGCTTATTTTCACGTCTCCATCCATCCTCGTCACAGAAAGTTCCTCAGATTCGCAGTCGGGGAGGACCATTACCAATTCAAAGCCCTTCCATTCGGGCTCTCTACCGCCCCC